CTTTTGGGTTTAGGAACTTGCACTTTAGCCAAACATCCCCACACTTTAAAATATTTTAAGTTAGGTTTCCTTCCTTTCCATTTTCATATGGAATGGATTGTCTTTTGCTATGGGGAACTCGATTCAGTATTTGATTAGCTGTAAGAATAGCTTCCCCCCACAAGTTCTGAGGTAAACCAGAACTTATTAATAAGGTGTTCATCATCTCCTTTAATGTTCTATTCTTTCTTTCTGCAATTCCATTTGATTGCGGTGAGTAAGGGGCAGTTGTTTGGTGAATAATGCCATTTTCCAAAAATATTTCTTCAAAAGGAGATTCATATTCCCCGCCTCTATCACTTCTTATCATTTTAATCTTTTTGTTTAATTGCGTTTCAACTTTATTTTTGTATTGCTTGAATGCGTCTATTGCTTCATCTTTACTATTAAATAAGTAAATATAGCAATATCTAGTACTGTCGTCAATAAAAGTTATGAAATACTTTTTCCCACCGCGAGATGGTATTGACTTCATGTCGAAAATACCCATGTGAATTAAGTCTAAAGGATTTGAATTCCTTTCAACTGACTTATAAGGATGCTTAACATACTTTGATTCCACACATATTTGACATTTCGAGTTATTGCATTCAAACTTAGGTAATACTTCCAAATTAATCATTTTTCGCAAAGTTTTGAAGTTGACGTGGCCTAAACGTTCATGCCATAAATTATTTGACTCAAGCAAGTAAGAAGAAGCTGAAATTTTATTCATATCAATGGCAATTACATTGAGCTTAAAAAGGCCTCAGTCAGGTAACCTTTCCTACATACTATTTCGTTCTTACTAATACAACCTTGTCGGAAACAAAAACACACTTAAAGCCATTCTTGACTAGAAGTGATGTTGAGACTGAATTCTTCCGCAATTCAGGAACATGAAGAATCTTTTAGAGTCACAATCTTTCCCGAAGTCATCTTCAAAGCCACCTTGCCCGTTCCTTCAGTTTTGCAGTAGGCGGAGTTTGCCATAAACATTATCTAATCGGGTCCAGCGGGAGCATATGAAGTAAAACAACTCCTTGTTAGCACAAACATGTCGAGTTGCTCCTGAATCAATCCACCATTCTCTAGGATTTCCGACTAGGTTGGCATTCTGAAAAAATGGCACATAGGTCGTCTATTTCATCATTCTTCTCAATCATGTTTGCTTGTCTTTTCTTCTTGTCCTTCTTTGGTGCACGACATTCAGTAGCCTTGTGTCCAACCTTTCCACAGTTGTGGCAATTACCTTTGAACCTCTTCTTGCTTGGATAATTCGTTGATCCAGATGGCTTCTATCTCTTTTTACTCGTTGAAGCTTCCTCAACAATATTTGCACCCATTAATGTTGAATTTCCACGAGATTTCTTCTCAGCAGCCTTGTTGTCCTCTTCAATCCGTAGACGAACAATAAGGTCTTCAAGCGTCATCTCCTTGCGCTTATGTTTCAAGTAATTCTTAAAGTCCTTCCACAACGGAGGCAGCTTTTCAATAAATGCCGCAACTTGAAACGCTTTATTTATGACCATACCTTCAATCATAAATTTATAATTAGTACAATAATTAATATTTTGAATAAAAATATTAACTCGTTTTATACCTTCAGCAAGGAGGTCATGAACAATAACTTGCAATTCTTGGACTTGCGTTATGACAGATTTACCGTCAATCATTTTGAAATCCAGAAATTTGGCGGCCACAAACTTCTTAAGTCTAGCATCTTCAGTCTTGTACTTCTTTTCAAGAGCATTCCATAATTCTCTTGATGTTTTCATGACGCTATAAACGTTGTACAAGCCATCTTCCAGCCCACTTAAAATGTAATTTTTGCACAGAAAATCAGAGTGCTTCCAAGCCTCAGTAACAAGGAAGCGCTCGTTGTCAGGGGTTCCTTCAGGAACGACTGGAACATCCTCTTGAATGAACCTTTGCAGACTTAGAGTGGTTAGATAAAAGAACATCTTTTGCTGCCATCTCTTAAAGTCAACACCAGAAAATTTCCCCGGCTTTTCCGCTGGTGGCATCGCCGTTGCAGGTGCAGTAGGACGGCTAGGACCTGGCATCCCTGAAACTGTGTTAGCAGTAACAGTCACAGCAGGTTCAATTTGTTCCTCTCCGTTAGTCGTTTCTGTCAATATGACACAAACAGGTTCAGTAAATGGTGAAGTATTTAATCCTTCAACCCAAAACAACACAGCGAAGAGATTATTCTTCAAACTGATTTTAACAAAGTGAAGAGATTATTCTTCAAACTTATTAGGAGAGTCACTTCGAAAATCAGAACAGTAAAGATATGTATAAACAATAAGATTCTTTAAGCTTGTTAGATAATCTGAAATTTAAGTGACTAAAACCAGGAAAAATAAATGAACAGAAAGGGCAGAATTATGTTCCGAGCCCACAAATTCCTTGTGTGTCCTTAAAGAATCTTATCCCCTCACTGTTGCCCAAGGTTAACGGATAAATTCTTCCCAGGATAGAACGGAACTTTCCAACTTAGCGGTAGCGGCACTTCAAATCACTAAGTTATCAGCGAACTCAAAATAATGGTGGAAATCACACGACTTTGACTTACTTTGTTTTGAAAGTAATGATGCAGAAAGAAGAAGGAGATGAAGCAGAAGATTTCAGGATGAAAAATTCTGAAGGAATGGCTGCTTATTTATAGCCAACGAATTCTGGATTGAAAGGGTGTGAAAGTGGCTGTTCACACTTCAGATGGCTATTCGTGAAATGCAGCCCTCTCTTTGGTGGCTATTCGTGAAACAGCCTCTCTTTGGTGGCTGTTTAATTAACGCGGGAAAATTAAAGACGGAAATTAATTAATTTAACGTTACTAATAACGGTCATTCAAAATATTAATATAAAATATTAATATTTATTTAATTAATTTCATTTTATTGGTCCACAAAATTAAGTCAATCAATCATATCAATTGACCGAATCTGAATTCAAAGCCGAAGCCGAAGCCGAAGACGGCGCGAGGCCCCTTCCTCTTAGCTCCTTTTAAGAGCTTAAGGAAGTGCTTCTATATTTAAACCCAACAAAATACGTGTCTTTAACCAATGAGGGACAAAGTGCAAAAGCCAAAGTTGCCTTTCCATCTTCTTTCCTCATTTCCCATTCACACTACCACTTCAACCCCAACAAAGAGTGATCTTTTGTACACGTCATTGTGCTTCGAGTTTGAGTTTCTTTGTATGCTCGAGCTAAATACAAAGTTGAAAAAAGAGTTCCTTGTATATTGTGCCTTGTGTTCTTATTTAATTCCCGTTGCCTTAACTTAAGAGCCTGTTTGGATTGGCTTAAAAGCTGGTCAAACCAGCTTTTAAGCCATTTTTAGGTAACTGGTTGGCAAAATAAAAAACAGCTTAAAAAAAGTTAAAAATGGCTTAAAAAAAGCTAAAAGCCACAAGTTAGGATATCCTAACTTCTCCGTTTTTGGCTTAAAAGCCATCTTATTTTGACCAATGAAATTACTTACTTGTCCCTTATAACTTTTTCTAATCCCAAAACTACCCTCATCAAATAAATCCTAAAACATCCAACTACTCACTTTCTGTTCATCTTCTTTCCTCTTCTTCTCCTTTATCTTCTATTCTCACCCACACGTTCACCTTTCCTATGTGATATTCATGCTTTTCTACACTTCTATTTTCCTATTATAAATGCTCCTTTTTTTTAACATAACATTAAAATACAAATACCCTTTTCCTCAACATTTGGAGGAGGAATCTGCTTCTGTAATTTGTCCATATCGTAATTGGCAGTAGTCTATTTCCATTTTTCAAATATATGACCATGTCCTTTGATTTCGTCTTTGTTTGGTAAGCAAGAGGAAGATGTAGGTTTTTGATTTGTTTTTATGCGATATTTTTGTCTTTTTAACAGAAAAAAGTGCTTACCAACACTTATTTACCAAACACTTCAATAACTTTTTTTAAGTTTCAGCACTTTTATCCAAACAGGTAACTGCTTATTTATAAAACAAGCTCCAGCACTTAAAAGTTACTTTTAAGCACTTGTGCTTAAAAGCCATTTTTTTTAAGCCAATCCAAACGGGCTCTAAATCTTACTACGTTGAAAGCTGCTTAAAAATATTCTAAGTCCAAAGTTGCTGAAATTTTGATTTAAGTGTTGAAAAGGTTGAAGTTGGGTGTGAGGCCGAGCTGCCGCGCAGGCTGGTTTTGGCGGACAGAAAATCAGCACGTGACAACTAGATAAGGGCAAGAGGCCTGATCTGCTTCCAACAACCCATCCCAGTGCGGCTATTATTTTGCCTTCTGAATCAACAAAGTGATCGAAATCATCCTTAGACTCTTCATTTGTTCCTCATGTAACAATTGTGATCCATGGAATCCTTAAACCATGCAAGTGATACATTCAGCCATCAAATACATTTAGGATCCCCTTTCTACATTTGATTATTTATTGATGGTCTGACGAGCTTTCCTAGCCTAAGGTGCTGTCTCGAGTTGTTAGAATATTCGCATATAAAGTTTGAACGAGAGCTTTTATGCAATTTAAATTAACAAAAAGTAGTGACAGCAGTACAAAATCTTTAATTCTCGAGTTTCTTTTGCCAATAAACCCTGCCTACTGAGACCCTAACCCGAGTAAGTCGGTGCTCCATAAGGGAAAATTAAAGCAAAATTTGTTCAAATCCTCCCACATGTTCAATCTTTTTTAGCGTTTCTCCAAAGATCTTTACAATGAATGCGGCCTTTAGTTTGCTCACTCATGGAGTTGCATTTTATACCTCTAAGAATATAATTAATCATCGTTAGTCTAATGTGAATTGACTCGAATTACTTCGTGTTGCACGCCTAGGAGGGCAGCCCGTTTTGATACATGGGGCCTGATACAACTCCTTTTCCTTAAGTTGAACAAAACCAAACATTGGCACCGACAATGATTATGAAATGGGTGGTCGAATGTTGTACTTACTGGTGACAGATAAAGTACAACTGCACATGGGGTTACAAGATATTATAATGGATACTCTAAACCAGTCAGCTGACAATCAACTGTGAGTTGTAGGCATGTTCAGCCTTGAGCATAATACACTTTCCAACTACTAAATAAAAGACATACCGCCAGCAAATTGCTTAACTTAACAGGCTTACACAGTGGACCAGCATAATAATTGAAGCAAGAAAAATAAATAGTTTCTTTAAACAATATGATTGTAATGCTGCTAGTTACAAAAGAATAAAAGAACGAATAAAATACCACTATAGGTTTCAGCTAAACGAGCTATTATTCAACTATCCCTGTTTCTTCACGGCGGAAAAAGTTCCACTACTCGCTTCGGTACTCCAGTTAGAAAAAATTCCGACCATTCTGTAATCCTAGTAATATACGTGGAATCCTTGCCCGAAATAAAAGGATTGATGGTCTACACGTCGGTGATTAGCAGTATGGATAAACAAACGAACAGGTGTGCGACCATGAAAAAGAATTGCAGTTAAAGGAGTATACTGCACTGTTAGTTTGACTCTTCAGATCCTTCATAGCCATAGGGGTTTTTACTGGCCCAGTTCCACTGATCGCGGCACATCTCATCAATGCCATACTTTGCCCTGAAAAATAAGCCAGACATTTAGTACAACACAAATCAAAAGTAGATTATATGGTACAGAGAAAGGGGTGAACAGAAGTTCTAGCTGAGGGGCACTATCAAGCGTTACCCCGTCAACTAGTGGCGGAGCCAGAATTTTCACTAAGGCATGTCAAAAAATAAAAAAAAAATAGATACACCGAAAAGTTAAGGGGAGTCGACGTATAGTAAATATACATAAAACAGAAAAATTTATCTAGCAATACAATGTAATTTTTCGGCTAAGGGGTGTCGATTGGTTGAATGTGGCTCCGCCACTGCCGTCAACTAGCAGTTAAGTAATTAATTAGATTAATCAGCGACCAGACAATTGAAGTATGCAGCCAGGTAAACAGATTGATATATTTGTAAATATCAGTTACCTCCAATTCAACTCTCGTTCTGCTTTCTCTGTTGCTGCATATACTATTTCAGCATCCCCAGGCCGTCGACCAGACATCACCAGTGGAATTTTCTAGAAAAGCAGAATAAGAGGTAATTAGTGTACCAGGAACACTTAATCAGTGCTACCATTACTACTAGGATGTTCCACAGTTAGCAAAGCATTTCCACACAAAGTGTAAGGTCAGAAACATAACTATCAATAAGTGAGCAGCTTAAGTAAAGCTGGAATTATGTGCGGCCCAAATAGAGCGTTTCAAATTATAAGAGATGTGTTCAATTTCCTCCCAGATGAGAAGAACCGGAAGCAACTCTAGAACTCATTCAAATGTACAGGAATACGTCTCAGATCAGAAATTTAAACAAAAGGCATTTCACTATAGAGGCTTTAACTTTAAATAATTATCAATATGCACTCAACCAGTCTATTTCATTCTAATACGAATTAAGAAGAAAAATACAAGGCCCTTTATTTACAAAAGCAAATAAGGCAAATGCTCTTCTTCCTCAAATGTGTGATTTATGTCTCTTTTTCCATTTATAAAAGTTTAACTCACTGAACTGGGTATTCCAACAGAGATGCCCAAGGATTAACCGACTGATTCCAAAAGTACACTACCTTTCCTGATGCCTTCTCAAATGCTGACACCACTTCCAAGACTGATGATCCTTTCCCAGTTCCCAGGTTGTAAACTTCACAGCCTGAAACTTTTTAGCAAAATCAAAGTTAGAATCAACACCAAGCAGAGAGACCTTTGCCCTCTAGGCACTTTATTAGATAGGTCACTAATGCTTTATCATCCAACAAGAATAAATGTGTCACCAAAAATATCCAAATGATATTGCTTTAGAAATGCAAAGACAAGCCAAGCTAGAACTGTTATGATTTAGTTAAACAGAAACAGCATAGCAGAATAATATGATCACACCATGAACAAAAGTTGATGCTTCTCACATAATACTATTTGCCTGGGATATTGGTGACACTGTCATGTTCAACCATGTCACGAGAAACACAAGGAGGAAAAACGATATAGAAAAGTACAGCTTTACCACTGAAAGAACAAGAATCCAATAGCAGAACTGGAAAATATGTTTCAGGGCAAACAGTCTTCAAGAAAGAAAGGTAAGAGAGCTTTGTGGTAGTGGACTCTGAGGCTGCTGGAATAATTAGCACCAGATAACTTAAACAGAGAAGTAACAATCATAAGAAATAGCAAGTATTCACCTGTCGAAGGATCAAACAGCTTCTGCAAGGCAGCAATATGGCCATCTGCTAAATCAACAACATGAATGTAATCACGCACCTGAAAATATCGGCACATGATCAATCACATGTTCAAGTTACATGTAGCTAAACAAGGATTTCCAAATTTGAGTGAGCTGATTTCTGATAATCTGGAACACATGTCAAACAATTTCTGGTAATCTAGACAAAAATCATCACATAATAGTACTATCAGAAGTAGACCATACCGCTGTACCATCCTTTGTTGGATAATCAGTTCCATAAACTGTCAGTGCTGGTCTCCTGCCAACAGCAACTTGTTGAACAAAGGGCATAAGGTTGTTTGGAATTCCACGTGGATCATCACCAATATAACCACTTGGATGTGCACCAATGGGATTGAAGTACCGCAACAATATGACTTTCCATTCATGGTCAGAATGGTAGACATCACGGCAAATTTCTTCAGTGAAGAGCTGAAAATTAAGTCTACTTAGCTTTGAGTATAAACACAGGGCATACACATAACCAGAATTCTGATATTCAGGAAAAGAAAGAACAAAGAATCCTCACACCCCTCCCTCCTTTAAAAGAATTGGACAAGTGAAGGTATAAAACTTGGCTGCTCAGCAGCCTCAGTGGAGAGGCAGCCAACGAAATGCGCTTGCAGTTTAGTATCACAAATATTCACTTCATAAAATCAGCTGGGCACTGAAATGACCAGATGAGACAACTCAAAATCTACCTTTGTCCTTCCATAAGGATTTGCAGCACTTATGGGAGATTCCTCAGTACAAGGAACCTCTTTTGGCCAGCCATAGACAGTAGATGATGATGAGAACACTAGCTGAATAATTGAAGATAGAAACCAGTCAATACAATAATTTGCAAGAGAGAAAAGATGTGTTATTAAGATAATCAAAAGAGTATAGAGAAATACATTTTTGCATCCACGCGTTGCCATGACTTCCAGCAGGGTAATTGTACCTGTAATATTGTTGTTGTAGTACATCAAAGGTTTCTGGCAACTTTCACCCACTGCTTTTAGTCCAGCAAAATGGATAACAGCATCGAACCTGCATTAGATATGAAACTGATGTTGAACTAAAGAAATAAAGTAAAGCAAGGGAGCTGATAGACAAATATAAACACTACAACCATCATGTTGGAAAGTGTTAGACAAGAGCATATTTCCGGTCAACAGCATATAATTCATGAAAATGTTTATCAAATTTTCAGCTTAATGTGTCATAGATAAAAACAACATTGGCTAGAATAACAACGGAATGGTGATCAACAAAGAGGAAGATTGACAAGAGAAGTTCAGAATTAAAAGTATAATTACCCTTGCAACTAACATGGTATAACTTACTTGTTAGACTCGAAAAGCTTTTCAACTGCAGGCTTGTCGCGCAGATCTATCTGCAGTTTAAGACAAAACTATACAAATCAGGAACATAAATGCAAGAAATGAAGAAACATTCAAGTGCCTGAGGCTTGAAAACATCCTATAATACTGTGTAACAGTGTTTGAAACAAAAATTGAAGCAAAGATTACAAACTTTGTTTTTATTTTAGCTATGACAGTGATTTTCGGGCCAGTTTGCAAGCACATTGACTATTTCACCGGGTATCTGCTACCTCCCACTAGCGTAGGTTATCTGAATATACTACTTTAAGCTTTTGCATCGTTAGCTATTTGTCTAATCCAAGTACACAAATGTACACATCTAACACAGGAAGAAGCAAAAAACATGATAAACCATAAATCATAACACTTGATAAAAACACAGATGCAACATTAAATCAAATCAAACAAATTCAAAACAAAAATCCAATCTCTATAATAGGAATCCAACCATTATACCCAGATATACGTGACTCCACATTATCAAGAAAACCCACGATTATAGATGAGGAAAAGGGAACGTACATTGTAAAAGGAGAGGTTAGGGCCTAATTGACCCGCAAGTTCCTGAACCCTTTTGATAGCAATAGCAGAAGAATTATCCAAATTATCAACCACCACTGTCTTGTAACCACCAAGCAGTAATTGTAACACCGTGTGACTCCCAATGTACCCAGCTCCACCTGTCACTAATATATTCTTCGACATTGATCCAAATTTATGGTTTCGATTTGGGTTTGGAGAAGAGAATACGATGTTATGGTTTGTGAAAAGAATGAGACTGGGGAAGAGATTCCAAAGTCCAATTTTTATAATGGTGATTTGTGAGAGGAAGAAGAATGAATAGGGAATTTGGTCACCTCTGCACTGTCATTGGGTGGCAGAATATAGTTTTAAGAAGAAGAAAAATAAAGCAAAGGAAGGGCCATGTGGAGAGGAGGTTTCATCACGTCGGTAGCTTTGTATCGGCGGCTGTTTACACTCCTCAGTTACTCTGTTGTAATTTCACTCCTCAATATTACACTTTTCTTTTACTAAAAGGGGATCGGGGAAGTGGAAGGGTAAAGGGGTAATGGAAAATGGAAAATGGAATATGGAATATGGAAATGAGCACAACACATATATTACGTGGGAAACTTTGATGATGTTGTTAGGATCCGTTTGGATTAGAAATAAGTTACGCATGAATTAGTAATAATATAATAACAATAATAACATACTCAGTGTAATCTTACAAGTGGATTTGGAGAAGGTAGTGTGTACCGGGGGCGGGCCTACATTGGGGGAAGGGGGTCACAGGAACCGTTAGCCTCGGCAAAAAGACTGTATATATATTTCATATATATCTATATATACACTCATGACCCCTAATATATTTTACGCGGCCCCCTAAAATACAAAAATTGGACAGAGACGCTAGTTTATAGGAGTGTTTAAGTACCTACACTCTCTCGATGACCTAGGTTTGAATGTGGGCTTCTACAACTTATATTTTTTAGTATTTTATTTTTAAGGTGGTGCCTCCGTGATACTCAAATCATGGGTCCGCCTCTGGTGTATACGGAGACCTTACCCTACCTTTTGAAGATAGATATAGTATTTCTGATTGATCCTTGACTCAAGAAAAGCATAATCCAACAGTAATGAAAAAAATACGATAGTATAGAAGCCACAAAGGAAACAGTAATAGTAGCAAGAAAAATAAGCAACAATAGGCAATAATAATAAATCTAAGAATAAGAGAAAACAGGCGTAATACTAATACTACAGGTATGGAGAAGAAAAACAATCAAGTACCCACTAACCCACAACTTTAGTTCTCAACATCTACGCCCTCCAATCAAGGGTCATATCCTCGCTAAACTAAATATGTATCATATCCTGTCTAATCACATCTCCCCAATACTTTTTAGGGCGAATGAAGATGTAATGATTATAATAAATAGATTTATTTTTGTTGAATATTTTATTTGATATATTAAAAATTATTAGTATATTTTGTATAATTTGAAATGTCTTTACTTTTCAAATAAAGTTTGTTTACCATTACAACTTGGTTGGATGGTTGTTACCTTTTGTATAGTATCGAATTGTTACTTTAAATATAATATTTGTTTTGATTTGTTACTTAAATTTTATTGTATCGTATCGTTAAATTCCTCGTTACATAACAACGAAAAGTGCCACTTTATGGAACGACCGATTTTGTGTGGTCGCATCGTTTCCTTTTTTTTTCTCCTCATCTTACCCTTTCCTATTATTAAATAATCTTATTTTATCTTTTACCCTACCTTTTTATATAATAATTTTACGTCGTATTCTACTTCTTTTTTTTAAATAGTATTGCAAGTTTAATCATGAAATAACGACAAACAATACAATCTATTCAAATATTTTATACATCAAAATAATACAGTATAAGTAATACAATAATGTACAATAAATTATGAAATGATACATAACAACCATCCAAATAAGATGTTGGAGAAATAGTTTTCTCGGTTTAATATTTTAAATTTATGTATTACTAATAATTATATTTTATGTCATATTTTATCACGCATAAATATAATCTATATTTCTTATAATTTAATCTTGTACTATTTATATAGGAGAAGAATAAAAATAGCTAACGTGTTATAAAACTAAAGACTGCAAAGCAGATAAACTAAAGACATGTATAGAGAGAGATTGATATATTGTTCAACTTCAAACTGATTTACATAATGAACTGAAATCTCCTTTATTTATAGAAGAAAGGAAGTTGTTGTGTAAGATGCTACTGTAAACTACTATATTGCTACTGCAGGCTGCTGTGTAAGCTACTTGTAAGTTGCTTGTAAGCTGCTACTGTACCAGATATAGATAACCTTCTACCGGGGGTAATATTTATCCATAACGGAGTACCAAAAAGATAAGCTTCTTCAGGAGTCTTATTTCCAATAGAGAACTAAACAGATAAACATATTTACGGCAGAGTCCCATATGGATACGCTTCTTCAGGAAGCTTATTTACAACGGAGTACTAAATAAACATTCATAATATAATATATATTTATAACACTCCCCCTTTGATTTTTATTAAAAAGATAATGTGCCTTATTAAAACCTTACTAGAAAAAACCCCGTGGAAAAATCCTAGTGAAGGAAAAGAGTACACATATTTAGTAATACACATTGCTAGGTGCCTCATTAAAAACCTGTAAGGAAAACCCCGTGGGGAAAAACCTTAGTAAGGAAAAAAGAGTGCATCGCGTATTTTACTCCCCCTGATGAAAACTTTGTTTCAAATATTCAAGCCTCTGCATTCCAATCTTGTATACCATCTTCTCAAAAGTTGAATTTGTAGAGAATATTATCCACCACTATTTCAGATCGATTTAAATTAATCTCATCAAACCAAAAAGCTGATGCAAGTCATTTCATTGAGTTGCTTACAACCTGCCTGCATCAGCTGCTTGTAGAAAACTTCAATGGAGTACTAAATGGATAATCTTCTTCAGGAAGATTATCTACAGTGGAGTAATAAATGGACATCCACAATAATATTTTCATAACACTCCCCCTTGGATGTTCATTATTATGTGCCTCGTTAAAACCTTACTAGGAAAAACCCCGTGGGAAAAAATCCTAGTCAAGGAAAAAGAGAACACTTATAATATACACTGCAAGCTGTCTCATTAAAAACCTTACCAGGAAAAACCTAGTGGGAAAAACCTAAGCAAGGGAAAAAGAGTACCGTGCAGAGACTTAGGTATATCAGGACCAAGGAGTTCATCATCCTCTTCTGGAGGTAAGAACGGACCCTTATTCACTTTAAGTGATCAAAAAAAATATTGATGTACTCAATGAGCGTGCTTTGTCCATGTAAAAGCATTTTAAGACCATTTTTGTATAGGCAGACTGATGGATAAAAATCCCATATGCTAAATGTTCAATTTTCAAACTAAAAAAAAGTTTTGTGTTTCCAAGATCTTTCATCTCAAATTCTTTCTTAAGATATTCAATTGCCTTTTAAGCTCTTCTGGAGTTCCAACAAGATTTATGTCATAAACATAAACAGAAAGTATAACAAATTCTGATGATATTTTCATTATAAAAAATACATGGACAAATAACATCACTTACGTAACCCTCTTTCAGCAAATATTCACTAAGGCGATTACACCACATGCGCCCAGATTCCTTTAAACCGTACAAAGACCTTTTTAATCTGATCGAGTATATTTCACGAGACTTTGAACTATATGCTTCAGGCATTTTGAATCCTTCAGGGATCTTTATAGAGATTAATCAAATGAGTCATACACTGTAACAACCCGGCCGATCGTTTTTAGAATTTACGCCCCGATCCCCTATTAACTACTTTCCCCGTGTTTATTTCTGCTATTTTGAAATTGCCGGGATGTTCGGTTTTGAGTTTCGGAGAGTTTTGGGACACTTAGTCCCTAAATGAGAGCTTAAGTGTTGGAAATTTGACCATAGTCGGAACAGTGTGAAGACGGCCTTGTAATGGGATTTCAATGGTTCCGTTAGCTACATTGGGTGATTTCAGGTGAAAGAGCGTGTTCGGATTGTGTTTTGGAGGTCCGTAGCTAATTTAGGCTTGAAATGCCGAAAGATGGATTTTTAAAGTTTCTGATTCGATGGTGAGATTTTGATCCGAGGGTCGAAATGGAATTCCGGAAGTTGGAGTAGCTCCGTAGTGTTGAATGTGACATGTGTGCATAATTTTAGGTCATTCGGACGAGGTTTGATAGACTTTTTGATCGAAAGCGTAAATTTTGAGTTTTTAAAGTTCTTAGGCTTGAATTCGATGTTAAATTGGGGTTTCGATGTTGTTTTAGGTGTTTTAAGGATTGGTATAAGTTAGGACAGTGATATTAGACTTGTTTGTGCTTTTGGTTGAGGTCCCAGGGGCCTCGGGATGGTTTCGGAAGGTTTCCGGAAGATTTGGGAGTTGGTTTGTTCAGCTCCAACTGCTGAACTTCTGTCATAGCCACACCTGCGGATTGGGGACCACAGGTGCATGATCGCAGCAGCGCTTGGGGAGACGCAGATGCGGCGAAATGCTTGGAAGCCAGTTTCCGCAGGTGCGGTGGTATGGGCGCACCTGCGAGACCGCAAGTGCGGTAGAAGAAGCGCAGATGCGACCTAGTGCCTTTAGTGAATTATCACATATGCGACGTTCTTTCCACAGAAGCGAGACTGCAGATGCGGTCCTAGAGCCGCAGAAGCGGATTAGCTGGGCAGAACATAAAAATAGTTGTCTTCGCGAATTTGAGCTATTCTTTCACCATTTTCATCCGAGAAGTGAGCTTTTAGGGAGATTTTTGAGAGAGGATTCAAGAGAGCTTCGAGGAGGTAAGATTCTTGGAACCTTAACTCGTTATTATAGTGATTTTTATCATCCTAAGCATGAAAATTTAAGGAAAATTAGTGGCAAATTGAGGATTGGGGCTTGATTAATTAGAGACCTTTGATTGATGATTTGAGGGACCAATTGAGGTCCGACTTTGGTACTTTTGGTATGAACTCCTGAGAGCGTGAGGTTTCTAGAAATGCAAATTTTACCCGATTCCGAGACGTGGGCCCGAGGGGCGTTTGGTCATTTCACCTAATTTTGCGTATTAGCTTAGAATTTATTTGTAGAATCGGTTACTTGAAGTATTATTTACATTATGCAATTGAATTGAATAGATTTGGGCCATTTGGAGTCGAATACTCGTGGCAAGAATGTGGTTTCGGGTTGATTTTGAGCTGGTTCGAGGTAAGTGGCTTGCCTAACCTTGTGTGGGGGACCTTCCCCTTAGGATTTGGTATATTTGTTTAATTGAAATGCCTTGTACGTGAGGTGACGAGTGCGTACTTGTGCTAATAATTGAAAAATCCGGTTTTCGCCAAGTAACTAAGATAGTGTTTTCTTCTCCTGTTATTACTGCTTGCAAGTTTAAGCCTACTGTTAGTCTAGAGAAGCATGATTAATTGACTTACTTGTTTTATTTGCTTAACTGCCTTAATTGCGTTATGTGAAGCATGTTAGGTTAGAATTTCCTATTTTACCTTGGTATTAAGTTGAGTTTAATT